TTGGTGGTGACCACAACTGGACCAAATGAGACACCTGATTGGTCAGTGGTGAAGCCAGCTGCAGCAGATGAGACATCTGATTGATTGGTGGTGACCACAACTGGACCAAATGAGACACCTGATTGGTCAGTGGTGAAGCCAGCTGGATCCGATGAGACAGCTGATTGGTCAGTGGTGAAGCCAGCTGGATCTGATGAGACAGCTGATTGGTCAGTGGTGAAGCCAGCTGGATCTGATGATATTATAGAGATGTCTGATTGGTTGGTAGTGGACACAGCCAGACTGGATGAGGCTGTTTTCTCCATATTTACATCTGACAGTTGTCTGACTGAAGATGAAACATCTGGATGTAAATCTGGTGGTTTGGTGGTATCCACGAGGGCTGAAGCCCCGTCAGCTGTTGACCTGTCGATGCTGGAGGTTCTGATGTGCCGGGTGGTTCTGTCCATTCTATTAATGTCTGGTAATGGCTTAGTAGTTCTGGTTTTGGCAGGACTGCTGACAGTATCAAAGGTGCTGGAGATCTCTGCCGGTTTATGTGAGGATGAATGAAAGATGGAGGACGTTGTGCCTGAAAATAAGTAGATCCCGAGTGATGGAGATGTTAAGAACATTATGAATTTTCATCTACAACCACAGCAAATTTTAGTTTGATATATACAAAATTGACTATTGGCAAAAGGGTGTATAAAACTTCTGACGCATCTGTATAAAATAGCATCATCTGCATACAATTAATTCCTACATTTGTCAGGTAGATTATTATTCAAGCAAAAAAGTTGTAGCCTAAAACGGAACTTTGTGGAACCCCTGTTCTGAACGGTTGAATAAATCTCTACATAACTTTTATATTTTGTTGTTGTTGGTTTTTTTTTTATGAATTGAACAAGTCATGAACTTTTTGACAGAACTTCAGCTGTTTAAATTTAAAAACATCGTGATTACAACAGCGGATAAAGATCACCACGAGGATAAATAAATATAAGAGTTTTATTTTATAGATTAAAATATGAATTATGAGGGGAAAATGTGGAAATAGTGTTTTAAAGACTGAGCCCAAGGAAATAAACCACATGAGCTCCCAAACCTGACTGGGTTCCTTTTCTTTTTATTACTTTGAAGCAGAAGATTATTACACAAATAGCAAAAGTCCCAGCAGGAATGTTCTAAAAGAGCTGAACGTTTTGATATATGAAGCGTTGAAATGGCACATACAGCATATCGCAAAATGAGTTACATGCTGAAAAACAAATGGATTTCAATAGTGTGATTGCTTTATAAACCTTCAAACAACTATAAAATAATGATTTGATTTTCTATCCAGGTCCTCTGGTTCTGATATCACTCAGTGTGAACAGTCGTCTGAGCTGCGTCTGTTTCCTGTCATTAATGAAAAATTTAAAAAAACTTCTCTGTTAACTTTTTCTGACGATTGAACAGTTTTCTGAGTTCGTTTGTTTAGGAACAAACATTAATTTGAAGCTGCTAAATGTAAAAATAACACGTAAAAAACCCTGAAAAATCCCAAACTGGTTTAGAGCCACCAGCCTCTTTATACTTACACACACAGCTTGATCCCAGAACCAGAACCATAACCAGAGCCTCCATGTCCCTGTTCTGCTCTCAGTGCGTCCCCCAGCTTCTGATGAGCCCAACTGAGGCTCTGAAAGGAAATGCGTCTTTTGTGGGAGGAAAAAGTCAACCAGCAGAACTTCCTTCTATTCAACGGTTGTTCAGAATCCTCCGAGCTGCTGGAAATGCTCGCGTGGAGGAAATTCCACAAGTTTTCTTCTTCTAACAAACATTCAGCTCGTGAGGAGACCAGTGCAGGTGGAGTTAGATCAAAACCAGCCACGGTGTCCTGAGAGTCCTGCATGATCTAACAGACAACCTTTAACTCCATTTGAGATGTTTCTGCATTAAAACAGTCAGTTTGTTTCCTCGTGCAAATGATCAGAACACAAAACTCCTACAAAAAGTCCTGAAAATTAAACCTTTACAAATAATTAGAGCTATAATCCCCTACAAACAAAAGTCCAGAACATAAAAGCTCTTTGGTCCAGAACATGAATCCCCAACAGATGGTTGAGAACCTGTAGGAGCTTCTGAAGTTCCAGGACTCATGTCTTAACTCCTCGTTGAGTTTCACCTGATGATCCTTCTGGACCCCTGGGTTCCTCTCAGTCAGTGCCGGCCCAAGCCTCCATGGGGCCCTAAGAGAAATTTGGTTTGGGGCCCTCTATTTCTGCTAATAATGTGGATTACTGCAGTCAACAGTCGGATGATCAGATTATTCACCCACCTGACATAAACTCATTGCAACTCTAAGAGCCCTGTTTACATTTTCCTATATGTATAAATCAAGTGGTACTAAAAGTAACAAAAGAAAGAAAGAAAACACCAGTATGCAATGAAGTTTACAGCAAAAGTATCATCTGGATTATTATCTTTGGTTCTAAAGAACTGCAACAGTAACGTTCAAAATAATTTGTAGTGCAAGATCAACAACAAACAGATAAAATAACTTTGATGCATAAAATAAATTAAATTGTGCAAAAATAGACAAAATAAAATAAAAAATAAAATATCAAGGAAATACTTGATTAATGTGATTGAACAATTAATGAAAATCATGCAAAATGGTTAAAAAAAAGAAATTTAAAGTTGAATAATTAGTTCTTAAATCTATGTAAATGTATGCAACAATTTGCAAAAGCTGAACTTAAAATATTAAACAACCTTCACCCCACACATTTGACCTGTTTATGTTACTTCTTCCTGAATACTTCACAAACTTCCTTAAACCTGTGCTTCCACTGAGGGGGGCCCATAGTGGCCCCGGGGCCCTAAGCAGCTGCTTAGCTTGCTTATGCCTTGGGCCGGCCCTGCTCCCGGTTCTTTCATTCCTGCAAACAAGATCGCATCATCTGTGTTTCCACGATGGGGGGAGGAGTTACCAAAGTCCATCAGAGCAGGAGGTTCCTCGCCATCTTCAGAGAACACCTGAATCACCGATTCTAGACCAGTTAACACCTTACCACATCAGTCTGACTCTGGACATCAGGACAGGCTCTACTCAAGATTTCAGGTGAGATCTTTATTAAATGTTAGAAACTTGTTAGAAAACTATTTTCATGTTTTAAGAACTTTTGTTCTCATAGTCTCAGCTCACCAAGATGTTTGAGGAAACTGAAAACTGCTGAACCCCAGCGTGTTTGGACCCACATCCTGCTCTTATCTGTGCAACGACTCTGGTTGTGCGGCTGGACAGGACGGTGAGTCTCACCTCCTCCCTCTCACATCCTGTCCTGGATGGGAGGAAGAGGAGGAGGAGAGGGGAAGATCTCGCACTCCACCTTCCACATCCTGCCTGGAGCTGAAAGCTGACGAGTCTCTGTGGATCTGCTCAAGTACTTTTTTATTTTATGGTTTTTTTTTTATTTCAAACAGATAAAAACAGCAACATGGATGAAGCTGCTGCTGCTGAAAACTTATTTGATTCAGAATCCAACAAACTGGATCAGATAAAACAGTTTTTCTGTTGGGTTTAATTCTGACTCAAACCTGCAGGAACTCCTGAATGCTGCAAAAATCAACTACATTTTCTCAGGTTTGGTGTTTTTGTTAATTTTTTTGTCTTTTATTTTATTTATATGTTTTGGGGGTTTATTTGTGAGTTATTTGTGTTAGCCCTCTTTCTCCTGAGCCAGTTTGGCCACGCCCACTTGACACCTGAACCCTGTACACCTGTCACAAATTCAACCACCTTTCCTCGTTATTCCCAGTCTATTTAATCCGTTGTTTCCACATCCTCTGCAGAGTGTTATTAGCCTTCATGCTGCAATCTACAGATCCCTCGTGCTTGTGCAATTCTCCAGAGTTTAGTGTAAAGTTGCAGCCAGATTAGCCTTTGTGTTTTTGTTTTAAATTCAAAAATAAAATAAAATAAATCCTCAAACTCATCGTGTCTGCATTCCTTGGTCCAAAAGCCTCCTGCCACCATGACAGATTTTATTTTGGATTAACTTTTAGTTTACAATATTAAAACTAAAGTTTCAGTATTCTTAAAAACCTGCAGCCTACAACTAAGGATAAATTAATCTAGGTTTTAAGTCTATAGTTGTATACAGATTATATAAGAATATGGCCACAGTAAAAACATTTATTCATATTTTTTTCTTTGATTTCAGAGATTAAAAACAGAATTCTGACTTTTCCCTCAGATTCTGAGATTGTAAGAAATAAATAATCCCTAATCATCTCTTACCATTAATTTCACAAATACTGAGTGTCTGAGAATAAAGGCAGACCATTCTAAGCATTTTCTCAAAATTCATTTATTTTGCTTAGAATTCTGAGAAAAAGTCAGAATTCTAACAAAAAATACAATAAAAATTAAAATCTGGCCCTAATCTTCTACCTGTAAAATAATGTAAAATTAATAAAGGTTTGATTTTTTTATTTATTCATTCATTTAAAAGAAACAAAACAATTTTATTAAAAAGAAAAAACATTGAATGAAAAGGGCGCAGAAAGAAAAATAAAATTATTATATCTGTCCCTTATTAAAAATAAGTAAATAAAATAACTAGAAACAAACAACAATTTAGTGTTGAAAAATCTCCAAAGTGAAAACACAAAAAAAAACATCAGGCATTCTTCACCTGGCACCATACTTTTCTAACAATTTTAACTTAATCATCTTTTTAAACATATAGATTGTTTAAGAAATTTTTATGGTGATATCAAGGCAATTCCACAATCATTTTTTTTTTACAAACATTTCCATTCCCTTAAAGTTATAATGACTCTTTTTTTAACAAATTTTAATTGAATATTTGGGGGTAATGTTTTTTATGAGCTTTAGACATGACTTGTACAAGACTATATTCAACCAAATCATAACATTTTAATAATTTGATGTTTTTATTGTGAATTTATTTTATTAATAAAATTGAATCCTGAATGTTTCTCTATAAATTAAGATAAATTTTATGTGAGAAAATAAGTTTTAGATGTCTGTGTTCAACATTTGAAATAGCATTAAATACAATCTTGGGCACACACTCTACTTCCACAGAAAATCTTAGCTCAATATCAGTTTTGCAGACATTTTTGTGTTTGCTCATGTCCCTCGGCTGTGGCAGCCATCTTGAATTGGGCTGGCTCCAGGGTCAATGAGTTGTAGATGTGCCTCCACTGATTATTTCTTGAAAGCATCATTAAAATCTGTCTAATTCAATTTATTTAAATAGAATCAATTCAAAACTAAAGTCATCTCCGGGCACTGTACAAAACATTCACATACATCGATCCAAGGAAGTCAGCAGGTCGTGTTGACTCTCCCATCCTGAGCAGATCATTGGTGACAGTGGGAAGAAGCAACTCCCTTTGAACAGGAAGAAACCACCACCAGCAGAACCAGAACCAGGCTCAGGTCAGCCATTTGCCTCAAATGGCTGGAGTCAGAGAAGGCAGGAAAGAGGCACACACAGACTACCTGGTCCAGATGTAGTTTCTGTTGTCCAGGTTTTAGTTTCCATAGTCCAGGTGTAGATTATAATGTTGTCCATGTGTAGTTTCTATAGGAAGAAAGACAAAGAACAACATGTCACTGATAGAACATAAAGAGCAGAGCCAGTACAGACAGCAGCAGCGTGAGGAGATGTGGTCAGTTTGTCCTGCCAGTTGGCAACATAAGAGAGACGGATCAGTTCACGACTGGTGGAGCCGGCTTTCTCCAGCAGTGAGCTGGAGACCCCATTATCTGCCCGGGAGACAAAATGAGAAGAAAAATCACAAACTTTATGTTGCGAAACATTTATTGAAGAAGAAACACCTGTGTGACCGTTCAGAAGCTAAATAAAGGCAAAGTGATGTTTTAAACTTCAACGTTAGCTTCTTTAAATGTTGTCTTGACATTTTATTGCCAACTGAAGCAAATGAGCAGAAAATATAACGTTTGTCAAAACAGAATGTGTTATCCACAGTTTAATAAAGCCTAAGAGACATAAAGACATACGAGTCTTTATTTATTAAAAAAAAAAAAAAGAGTATGCCTGAGACTCTTTAGGTAAAAAAAAAAAACTAAACATTTATTGACTCAGATATAATCTGCTCTGATGTCATTTGGTATGGCAGATAAACACACACACACAAATCAAGAAAAGACAAAAATACAGTGGTATGCCCATGTCCCTGTCGCTGACGGATCTGAACAGTGAATGCTTGCAGTTTTCCAGATGAGTGTTTTTCTGGACTGGAATTGAACAGAGAAGGAAGTAAACCTAAATGTTTAGTGTTTGAACCACAACGTGGGCAGGAGCTCCACTGTGGAGAACTCAGGTCGTTTTTCTCTTGTCTGAGGCAGCGCACAGTGACAGATCCTGATGAGGAGAGGGAGACATTTTATCCACCACCAGGAGCAGAGGTGGAGCCGAGGGGTGGTCAATGGTGGCCTTGGCCCCCATAGATTAGTCTTCGGCCACCCTAAGAGCCACCCCATTTATTTGAGGAAATTACACTTTAAAGCAAAACAAAAACTAGAAAGCACAGTTTCCTTGAATGAATGGGAAGGTTGGTTTACCACCCACCCCCACACACACGGGATGGT